CAAACTGGGCCAGAGGATCACTATTAAATTCATTACTTTTGCTACCCGACCCTTCTCAAACTTCTTATTTGATCGCTCTCTGTGAATTCACAGATTCTGACATCTAATATGACACACATAATAATAACAACTCAGGTTAGTAAGGAGTAACATAAATCATATCCTAACGACAACATGTCAATAACTTTGGCATCCTAGTGGCATGTATACCCTTTTAATGTAAAATACACCCAGTTTTGATAGAGAATCGGCTAAACCTGTAGCTCTGATACTAATAAATATAACACATAATTTCTTTATACGTCCCCGTACACGAGTCACAGATGTCACATGAATTTTAAAACATTTTTGTACTAGAAAACCAGTAAAATTTTGTTTCTTTAAATAAATGGTTTATTAATATATTTTATAAAACGTTCTTCAACTACATATATATAAAATAACATGTAAAATCCATCAAACAGTAATTTAAGTTCAAACATAATATAATACTACAACCAAATATCAAGTATCTTATCAGAGCATCACAACATATCTAAGTACAAGCCAACTAGTAATATCGAAATAAACATTTAGAGATGTCATACTGCTACTGATGAGGCAACCCTTGATTTACGATGTCAGTTGCACTCCTTACTTCGTTTGTACGCTATTAGCTATGCATGAAACCACCACACACTAAGTATTCACTTAACGAGGCATAATAATATAAATGAGGTGTAACCAAAATATAAGTATATCATAAAATATCAAAATACAAATTTAATCGTATAAATCATAATAATACATAAAAATGACTTGGTAAACCAAGTTTCTTTCACATAACCTACGAAACAATATTTAGTATGCCCAGGAAACCCATCAATCAGTATTTTCCAAAATATCCATTTATTTCCCAATGTATTATAGATGAGAATGCAACGTACATGAGTTGAATATAAGTGCTAAATGAAAGCATAGGTTCTGTAGTGACAACAACACTATACTAATATAATGAAATGGTAAGTCACAAACTCATTATTAAAACTATAAAGGCACATATAGTGCCTAAAGTACACAAAGTACTGACACAAAAATGCAACATATACATTAAACAAAATCGACCGATAACCATCTGTAGTTACTCATTTTCGTCCGATTTTTTTATATATATATAAGATATAGTATATAGTTTTTATAAAATTTTGAAAACAAATATATAATATATAGTTTTTTATAAAACATTCCGAAAACATATATATATAATATAGTTTTTAAAAATATTTTGAATATATATAATATATAGTTTTTGAAAACATTTTAAAAATGTATATATAATATATAGTTTTTGAAAATATTTTGAAAATATATATAACATATAGTTTCTGAAAATGTTTCTGAAAAAATATATATAATATATAATTTTTGAAAACAATTTAAAATATATATATATATATAATATAGTTTTTGAAAATATTTTGAATATATATATATAATATAGTTTTTGAAATCATTTTGAAAATATATATAATATATAATTTTTGAAAATATTTTTAAAACATCTTCATGTATTATATTTTAGTATTTATTATATTATTATTTATTTTTTTTATTTTGGTCCCTATAGGTTCAAGTCCAATAGTCCTAGAGGCCCAACAGGGAACCCAACCGGGCAGGCAAACCGACCCGGCCAGGAGCCCAGCACATCGACTCGACCTGAGTTAGCCTGACCCATTGAATTAGGGTTTTTAATTCAATCAAAAGCGTCGTACGATCCTCAGTTGGTGGATCTGCAGCCAATACAATGGCCAAAACTAGAGACCGATCTTAAGTTTTTCAATAGCCCTCAATCGCCGTGGAGTTCGGCCAATTTGAAGAAACCATCCCCTAGTGGGAAAAACTTTTTCCAACAACAACAATAATCAACCCAGCAACGTAATTTCATAGCATTCAAAAACAACAAAATTCATGTATTTATATCCTAATGAAACTCTAAATCGAACGAAAAAAGGGACTCTTAATGCTATAAATCCTTACGAAAATGAAAACAAAAAAAGATAGAAGATTGAAGCAAAAAGAGACTTGTAACCTTCGAAAAGAAACAAAATAAAAGAGGTAACTTTTTGTCATTCTCGATTGTTCGCTTGTATATATGTGTTTGGGTTATTTTTTTCTTTCTTTTTTGAATAAAAAACCAAGAAAAAAAAGGAACGGCCGATGATCGGGGGAGGGTTTTTCGAGAAGCTTTTCTCAGATCTAGCCCTCCCCGAGGCTCTTTTGTGAAAATAAATCAGATTTTTGAAAAGAAGAGATGATAGGCTTTCGAACGGTGTAAAAATATTTTGGGTTCACCGCCGATGAACGGTGACCGGCGAGGCGGTGTCAGTCGGAATATGGGTTAGGGTTTGAATGTTCTTCATGTTCATGAAGAACACGAAGAACAATTCAGAGCATTTTGAGTTTTTGTTTTTGATATGTTTTGAGTGGAAGAAGAAAAAATAAAACATGTTTATCAAACTTGGGCTTTATTGCCGACCCGAAACCCGACCTTTTTCATTCCAAGATCTGCGTGTTTTTGATCAGGTAAGGGCTAATTGTAGCCTCGGTCCCTCTATTATTTTTAAAAATCCTTTTCATGGTTTAAATTTAATTTTGATTTCTTTTTTCTTTTAAATTCGCCACCGTTTTATTCATTCTTTTAATTTGGTATTCTCTTTATCCAATTCATGTTTATTTAATTATATTTTTAAAGCCATTGTATTTTATGAGTTCTTGATCCAACCTTTGTTATTTATTTATTTATTTTTATTATTTTGTATTTCTCTCATTTTTGTTTTAATTATTTAATTTTTGTCTTTGTGTGTACATGATCGCAATTGATTTTTTTAGTTTAATTACCCTTTTTCTTTGCATTGTTTATATTACTTTATGTTTTCAATATGTGCGATTTATCTTTTTTATATTTATTTCTATTTTACATTCCATTAATTTCTATTTCTCGGCATGTATATATTTTTTATTTCGTTGTAAATATTATAATTTAATTTTTGATTCTCTTTCTTTGATAAATTCAACACTTTTTTTTAACATATTTTTGATCTTTTAGGAGTACTTTTAAATCAATTAAAGGTAAGTAATTTGGATCGAAATTTTACTCTTTTAATTTAACTTACAATATTCTTAATTAAGACAACTGAAATTAAATTAGTACCGAAAGGGCAATACAAGGGTGCTAATCATTCCTTGACTGTAACCGACTCTCGAACCCGACATATTTTTGGTAAGACGCAGATCAAATAAGAAAATAAACCAATGTACCGATCAACCTAGTTTTTATTTTAGAAATAAATGATCGGTGGCGACTCTAACCCATTTATTTAAGTCGAAGCCTAATTTCAGGCCCATCCGAAAGACGATTGCAACAGCTTGGCGATTCCGCTGGGGACATGTAAGTGAGTCAGGCTAAGACTAATTTTCGATTGTCTTCTTAAGTGAAAATATTAAGTTTAAATTTAATGTAATTTTTCGGTCCTTATTACTTACCTTTGATTATTTTTCAAATAAATAGTTGTACTGACGTTTTTTTAATGATTTCAGATTAATTCCATCTCAGACTCTATACCCAAGATCCAAACCTTTTCTTAAGTGGAGGTGAAAGTGACGCCTTCGTGGGAATTTATTCTCCGTATAAGCCTAGCAAGTAACCTTCGGGATTCATATACCTTATGTCTTCGTGTGAATTTATTCTCCGAATAGACATAAGGGAATGTATCATCTCGAGTTTAACTTGGTCCACATAGGCTTGTAATGAGCTTAGGACTGAGGGTTTGGCAAGCCCAAGTAGACACCAGCAAGGAGAACTCAGATACCTTCTTTTTAGAACCTAAACCGAGAGGCTACAGGGAATTAGAGCCCACCCCGAAACTCCATTTCAAAACTTAGGATGTTTTTACTTTTATCATGCAATATATCATTTTTTTATTTGTATCATTATTATTTCTATCTTACTAACTAATTTTTCTTTCATGTATGTTTTTTTTATCATTTGCATCATAAAAAGAGGTAATTTATCCACAAAAAAATTGTTTGTTACACATAAATAATCTGCATTAATGGACAAAAGGGTTGTAATGCAAGAGGTGAAAAATGTCGAGGTACGACTATGGTCCGAAAAGACTCAGAAAGAAAACTGAGACAGTCTGCAAGAAAACTATGTGACAGATCTGGTTGGTTATGCTTCTGTCAGCCTAAAGCATAACGATGTTTAAGAACTACAGAGCATTTGGGATAACTGGAAAATGACCAAAAAATGAAGTTCTGCCAGTGGTATGGTGATATTTCACTTCTACTCTATGTCAAAACAAATGAGCCCCTATTCAGAGCCTTAGTACAATTATGGAATCCGGGGTAAAAATGCTTAACATTTAACCAATAAGACATGGTACCCATAATAGAAGAATATACTACTTTGTTGCATTGTGAATGAATCAGAATGGATCGGGTTTACATCAAGCACAAAAAGAGTCAACCTTTCAAGAACAAATTAGCAAAACTGGAGGGGTAGATAAGAAATGGGTAACTGACCGGATTCAACAAAAAGGTAGTGGGGAAGGAATTGTTTGGACACATACCAAGCAACTAATGAAGAATCATCCCAATGAATGGAAAGCAATGAACCTTTTTGCACTGGGCATTTATGGTTTGGTTATTTCCTAAAGACTTTGGGATACATTGAGGCAGAAGTGGTAGAACTGTTTAAACAACTCTTGAAACGAGTAAATCCAGCACCGAAAAATTTAGCTGAAACTTTTCGTTCCCTTAACCATTGCAGAAAGACTAGCGGAGGAATATTTATAGGGTGCGCACAGCTTCTCCAACTTTAGATCCATGATCACTTTTGGAAGACTAAGGGGATTTCATATTGTCGATTCAACACCACTTATTCTCCTTTGGGGGAATTCCTCACCCTGAAATGAAAATAAAGTGTCTCATAAGAGAAATGGATAAAGGTATTCACATACCTTCAGGATAGGGATATTGTCTGGAGTGCCCCCTGGGTAACCCATAGTGACATTCTTTTCTGATGTGGAGACTCAAAAACTATGACATTAGTCAAATTATGGGGAGAAGTCGGATACTCTCCACTTTTAGCACTTCGACAGTATGGGGCACGCCAGTTTATCCCAATAACACACAGAATATCTGGATCAAAATTTTCATATCATGGAGACAATTACAAGAAAGAGGTTAAAGAAGTAATTGAGTCATAAAAGAAAATATTTCGTATGGATGTCGTGTCCGCTAAGGACATGCTTACACCTGACTATTTGGAATGACGAAGGTTAAGGAAAAATGACACCATCCCAGTGCCAGACCATGAAGACACTCGAACCATGGAAGAACATCTTAAGCATGTTCCCTCCTAGTTAGAGATAGCAAGGAAAGAATTTGAAGCTGAAAAACAGGAGCTAAAATAAAGTCTAAGGGAATTCGAGGCTGAAAGATTCCAATAGAAGTTGGATGTTGATACCCAGAAGGATAGATCAGACAAGTTAGAGAAGGAACAGAAGAAAATTTGTTTTGAGCTTGAGATTTAAGAAAATGATATCAAGAACAAGTCCCGAGCAATTACAATCTGAAGAGGTCTTCTAAATACTGGAAAAATGAAGCTAGTAGCTTGAAAAGAAAGTTTGAAGGGTAGGAGGAAAGAGAAACCTTGAAAGAACAGCTAAAGACCACTCAGAGACGTTTGTTAGATAGTCAACACCTGAATAAGTGTTTGAGGGTCCAGGTAACTGATTTAGAGAAGTCTCTTCAGAAACAGCAAGAGCAGGATGGCATAACCATAGCTGAGTTGAAGGCCATTACGGACGGGATCAAGAAACAAGCAAGTGAGCTTCATATAGTTCCCTTTGATGGGCGATTTCAGTGGTTCTTTTGTTGGGAATAGGCCCAGAAAAGGGTGAAAGCTAGAGATACAGTTATCCGAGATTCCTCGAATAAGTACAAAAAGCATATCGTCACTTGCACGGTTTAGAAAGAGAAGCGAGAGTGGTCCAACAAGATATTCAACCAGTGACAGATGAAAAAAGAAGACTTGTCAACCTGTTAGAGGTTCTTCGGAGGTTAGAAAATTTAGTCAAAATGTACTTTTAAGATATTTTTGTCTCTTAAAAATATAAAACACTTTTGTCTCAATAAAGATTATTTATAATAACAGACACATTTCTGGATCAATGCCTCTAATTCTCATGCATCATGCATTATTTTCATACCTTGCATTTCATTTTTTTTATTTTCCATGTTTTTAAATTCATATTAACTAATAGAAAAATATATACCTCCACAAGCCTTGGACACACATCATCCTTACAACACTCGCACAAAGAAAAGAAAAATGGAAGCAAATATTACTCAACTCGAAGAGAACAATTAAGGTTGCAAATGGAGTTAGAAGAAAAGATAAGCCACAGTAACCAAAATACTCTGGAAACGATCACTAAAAACCAAGAGTCTTTGGTTGATCAAATTATTGCCAAGCTATATGGTTTGAGTCAGGCAAACATGCCTGAGGTAGGGTCTTCTGAAGGTGTAGCTATGCCACCTACCCCACAGGTGGTTATTTTATTTGGAATCTTACCAGGAATACAAGGGGACTCGTCCATTGCAAAAGTGAAAGCCTCGTTTGCTGTAAAGATACAAACTTATGTATCCAACCCTGAGAATAATCCAGATGATTACCTTATACCAGATTTTGATGAAGAAGACAAGGCAAAGAAAGTGGAAGAAAAGATCAAATTACTGGAGGACCAAATGAAGGTGGTTAAGGGGGACCATGATTATTATGGAATCAATGCTCTAGATCTGAGCTTAGTCCCAGATTTGGTGCTTCCACCAAAATTCAAAGTCCCCAAGTTTGAGAAATTTAATGGGAATAGTTGCCCTTCAGCCCACATTACCATGTTCTATCGAAAAATGATGGGATATGTAGGAAATGATCAGCTCCTGATTCATTGCTTCCAGGAGATTCTGTCTGGTTCAGTGATCCGGTGGTATAATTAGCTAAATCGATCTCATATAAATACTTGGAAAGATTTATCCAAGTCATTCTTGGAACAATTCAAGCATATAAACGACATGAGATCATATCTAGTCAAGCTACAAAGCATGGAAAAGAAGAATAATGAGAGTTTCAGACAAGATGCGTAGAGATGAAAGGATTTAGCTAAGCAAGTTCATCCACCCTAGGATGAGAAGGAAACCTGGAAACTTTTTGTGCAAACCCTGAAGGCTTCATACTTTGGGCATCTGGTTGCAATCGCATTAGAAAATGTTTCTTACTTATGGCCGGGGAAATGATTGAAATGGCCATAAGACAAGGCATGATCGAGGGAAGGGAATCAAGCAAAAAACCTCCTATAAAGAAGAAAAAGGGAGAGTTTAATAGCATCAACACCTACAACGCCAATAAAGGTGTTACAATCTCTAACTCAAAAATAACTGCAGCTGTACTATCAGGTACCTCTAGTTAAAGTCCGAGGGAACCTAGGAAAGAAAAAGAAAATGAGCATTTCAATCCTATTCCCATGACGTACAAGAAACTGTATCAACAACTCTTTGACACTCATGTAGTGTCACAATACCCAGTGGAACCTATGAAGCCCCATGCTCCAGATGGTATGATGACAACACTCACTACAAATATCATGGTGGTGTACCGGGGCATACTATTAAGAATTACCTTACATTCAAGAGAATCGTGCAAAGAATGCGTAACAAGAATTGGATATGCTTTAACTCAAAAACACCAAATGTTGCACAAAATCCTTTGCCTAACCATCAAGAGACTAGGATTAATAAAGTTATTATAGATAAAGACAGGAAAATTAAGACTGGTCTTTCTGAAATAAAGTCTCATTTAGCTTGAATATGGAGACAAATGGCGAAAGCAGGTTTATTGCACCACATTTTGATACATCAAGGAGCAGAAAGGGTAACCACTGTTATTACCAGAATGAAGAAGGGCATGAAGTGCAAGATTGCTTGAAGTTTAAGGATCTGATCCAGCCCATGATGGATACGAAGGAGCTGAAATTCTATGACGAAATCCAAGACTCTACAAAAGAAGATGTTTGTACAAGTGAAGAATCATTCGAAAGCGGATATAGCAGGGATCGTCCTTTGGTAATTACCCCTAAAGTGACAGCAGAGAAAACACAAGAAAATGTGGTGATCACAATACCCCAACCTTTTTCCTACAAGGATAGCTGGCAAGTGCCTTGGAAGTATGAATTCTAAATAAGCACCCTGAAGGAAGATGACAACAAAGTGGGCCATGCTATGGGGAAACGCTACTTCCAAGAGGCTAAATCCCCTCATAGACCGCTTGAACCCTTCAAAGGGAATGTGCTGACAATAAACGAGCCAATAAAGAAGGAATAAGCTATAGAGTTTTTGAAATTTTTAAAAGCACACCGATATAGCATCGTAGACCAATTACATAGCCTGCCGACACGTGTTTTAAAGTTGGCACTGATGCTAAGTTCAGAGGCACACAGGGGGCACTCTTGAAAGTCCTAAATCAGACATATGTACCACAAGACATACTAGTCAGCAAGATGGATTGACTGGTAAACAACATTCAAGCTGATAATCTCCTCTCATTTTCTGATGATGAGATTATATCTGCAGGAAGAGGTCGAGCTAAGGCATTACACATCACCATTCATTGTAAGGAGCACACCTTACCGAGTGTATTAATTGAAAACTGTTCAACCCTTAATGTGATATATTTGGTTACATTGAAATGGCTGGCAATGGATACTTCCCATATGAGAACATGCTAGAGCATGGTCTGATCATTTTACGGGACCAAGAGGGAGGTAATCGGCAAAATTGAGGTGCCTTTAACCATCGAACCTACTACTTACAATGTTGAATTCTTGGTAATGGATATCATACCTTCCTACAACTACCTTTTAGGAAGGCCTTGGATCCATCAAGCTGGAGCAGTACCATCTACGGTGCACCAGAAAGTCAAGTTTTTCATTGATGGGGATCTTGTAATTGTTAATGATGAAGAAGATATTATGGCGAGTATGACTACTAACGCCCCATACATAGAAGTAAATGATAAAGTGGTAGAATGCTCGTTCCACTCCTTAAAATTTGTGAATGCCATATTTGTAGCTGAATGAGGAAGGATTTCCAAACCACGGCTCTCCGAATGCACTAAAATGGAGATCAAACAGACTTTCGGAAGAAGTGCCAAGGTAGGAAGAGGATTTAGGAATCTGCTGCAAGGAAGTATCAACCCTATTCTTCCTATAACAAAACTAGACCAGTTCGGACTGGGTTTTCAGCCCAGTCAACAACAGAAGAGGAAAGAAATCCAGAAAAGTTGAGACAGAAGGTTGGCCAGATTGAACGAGAAAGATTCTAAATGGGAACCCATGGTTTTTTCACTTCTTTATGAACCATTTAAATTCAGAGGTTATGAGTTTGGGATGACCTCACCAGATTTAGAGGTCGCTTTGAAAGATTGGAGTATTAATCGCTTTAACCGCATAGAATGCCGGAAATATGGATGGGTCAGGAATCTACCCTTAACCACCTGGGTCGGTGTTCAACAACTGGACAGATGAAGAATTACCTGTGGTTTTCAAATTTCTTTCAGAGTAATACTCAAATTATCCCTATTTACCTACACCCATGGCAATAGGTGATCTTTTGTAAGGGTGAATAAATGTTTTTTTAAGTTCAATAAAAGATGCAGTTTCTTTCACACAACCATTTTTCTTATTTCTTTTGAACTCAATTTCCTTTCATTCAGTACTTTTCTTTTGAATTCAATTTTTTCCATTCTGTACTTCATTTTATCCTCTTTGGAATTTAATTTTTGGTCATTCCATGTGGGATATTTTCCTCTCACACATACACATTTCGTTTCTCTTTTAGGTCCCAAGATAATGATAATGCAGGCACTGATGACACTGACCTTGAGTGG